TTCCAAAGTCTTTGAAAAGTTGATTTATGAGCAGGTATATCCGTTACTAAAACAAAGCATAAGCCAGTCTCAACATGGTTTCTTCAAGGGTAGATCTACCGTTTCCAACTTGGTGCTCCTCAATTCTTTCTTGACTAAAGCCATGGATGATGGTTATCAAGTTGACGTTATTTATACAGATTATATAAGGCTTTCGACCGGATTGAACATAATTTGCTTTTAAAAAAGCTTCAGTATGTTGGTATCTGTGGAGACCTACTGCGGTGGTTCTCCTCTTATATCGACAATCGCTCGCAGGCTGTAGTTGTTAACAATTACATATCAGGTTGGGTGTCAATACCGAGTGGTGTGCCACAGGGGTCCTTGATGGGGCCGTTGCTATTTCTTATATTTGTTAACGATATTGAAACCTGTTTTAAATCATCACACCTACTGTGTTTTGCTGATGATATGAAAATATTTTCCACAATCTCATCTCAGATGATGCTGAATTACTGCAGCGAGATCTACTAAGATTGGAAGAATACTGTAATATCAATAAGCTTGATCTAAACCCATCAAAATGTACCCTTATTACATATTCACGCAAGCGAAACTTAATTAATTTCGGCTATCACCTTAAAGGCCAGAAGTTACAAAAAGAATCTGTTGTACGTGATCTAGGGATTTTCCACGACTCTAAGTTATTATTCAACACCCATGTTGACAATATCATAACTAGGGCAGCTAAGGCGTTAGGTTTTGTCATGCGTACTGCAAATGAGTTTAATGATATTAAAACAATTAAAATCTTGTACTGTACTTACGTCCGCAGTACGCTTGAATATGCTTCACAGATTTTGAACCCGATGTATCATACATACATTTCACGGATTGAAAATATCCAACGTAAATTTATACGATATCTTTGCTATCGTACCAATAGGAACTACCGATCAGAAGACTACTTATCTTTATGCAAACACCATCATCTGCTACCTCTGATAAAGCGTCGGGAGATTGCTGACATTGAATTTTTATTGAAAATCTGTTCTGGCAATGTTGACTGTTCAGATTTGCTATCACAAATATCACTGAGAACGCCTATAGTGAACCTTAGAACGAATGCATTACTCTACTTACCAACTTCATGAACTAATTATGGAAGAAATACTTTCATGTATCGGTCTATTAATAATTTTAATAATTTATGCAAAAAGCATGATTTTGATTTGTTTAATACTAGCTATATATCGGCAAGGCGGGCATTAAGTCGAGAGTTTTTATGTCATAATTTAATTTATTTTAAGAAAAATTATATTGTGTGTTTAGTCCTGCTTGTTAGTTTCACTTATTAAATTTATGCATGTTGTTCATTGAAATTAGACTCCATTTTTGTTGCTCATATTTGTGCTATGTCCTTTAAACAACGAAATTGATTATGTTAGTATATTTCTATTAGTGAGAACCTGTTATTGGCTTTGTTGTAAATTTAACATGTTATTTACTTAAGATATGTAAGCTGTTGGTTTTACATAACATGAAAATAAAATATGTGACGCACCGCGCCTTCGTCAGAGCGCGGGCCGGACCACCGTGCATTCCGCCGGCAGCTAGCTCAGGAACAACACGCGCGCGCCTCTCACCTCGATTAACTTATCTTGTACGCGAAGTTAATTTCATTCTTGTAAATTGTTGTCAGTAAAAGTTATTTTCTATCTCGAATAACATTACTTCATTCGGAGTCATATAATTCTTTATCCTAACCTATGTTAGTATTGCGTCATTTAAATATATAACGTACGAGTATTGAATACTACGGTTGGGTTTGGGGGCTAGGTGTTAACACATATAACTCTCACCGAGCTACCACGCTTAGCAAACCCACAAATGAATGAGGAAAGAGTGACAAAACAAATAAATGTTGCAGAGGTGTATGGTAGTCGGGAAGGGACACCCTAGGCGAAAGTTTATCGACCAAATTGGCGATATATTAAAAACGAGCCAAATCAAGAGTACCTTTAACCGACGAGCGTGTATGCGTAGGTATATGGATGTGGAGGAAGCGAGAGAGGTATGTCAGGATCGTGCCAAATGGAAGTCCATAGTCTCTGCCTACCCCTCTGGGTGACAGGCGTGAGTGTTTATGTTTTAAAAATAGCACCAACGTATCATAGAGCTATTGCACTAAGACGTGGAGTTGAGTATTATGCTAGTTGTGCTTAAAGGACTACCAAACACACTCACCCTAATCAGAAAGATAGCCGACGTATCATAACGCAATGCGCTAAGATGCCGCCCACAAACAGTAGAAAAAGTCGTATTACTACAACAAACCCGCTTACAATCGGCACTACGATGATATGCCTAGGACATTTATCTGTTAGCGAGTCCAAGTTTACCTCAGTCTCGAACACTGTGAAGCAGTCTACACGCCACTATAATAATCCTTTTCAGGTCCCATTTCTATCAATATAATGCTTTTACATATTTGAGACCTTCCACATATTTGCTTTATTTCATAGAGCCTCATATTATATCTTTTACATATGGGACTTCAAGTCATGACTCTGCTATCATAATGCTTATGCATCTAAGATACCTTTTATATTAATGTTTTTGTATCATAGATCTTAATATAGGACTATACATTGTGCAACATTACTATAGTAGGCACCCGACCACCTCATATGTACGACCTTGGGTATGCGTCTCTGGCAACTTCCTAATATAAGCAATCATTACATGAATACCCTCCCAGTAATACAAGAACACGCTGCATAATTACATTAAATTTTTGACCCATTTTCCAATTATATTACAAATGTTATATATCTTTATTATTGTAATATAATCAACGGGTTGCATTTAAAATTGTTTGGCAGGAATTTGGGGGAGTAAGTGTTTTATTTGGTAGAGGTTTGGTCCCCGAATATAACAATAACACTAGCATTAAAAGGTAATGCACCGTTTTCAAGAAGAAAAAAGTATTATAACCTAAAATGTGTAAAACATGAAAAAACGTATGCAATATTAATGTGAAAGCTGGATAGCATATAGATTTTTGTGTAAGTGCGACAAGGACGTAACACCATGTCAAAAACTAGTCACTTTATTATACCTGTGGTATTGCATGCCGAGCGCAAAGCGCATAGGTATGTTCTACTAGCGCCTAAAAATCAAGATTCCAACGTTTTGTCGCATGAAAACGTATCCAGCAATCATATTATACATATAAATTATATAAAAAACACATTGTCAGAAAGATAAATGATTGTTGAACTTATTAATATTTTTTTAAAATCGATTAATTGCTATTTTTACATAAAAAAGGGGTTTTAGTGGCTTATGGTGTGGATTTATTAAGTCCTCAAGGCTTGTAAACACGATAACTTTTGAAAATATCAATTGTTTAACTCAATCTATTTTTTAATCTCTTCATCTATCATGTGGGAAGCCACTGAATGTAAATGGCAGTGTAATTTTGTTTTGTTTAGCTATAATTAATTTTTTTCGGCTCCAAAATGGCGAAATTTTCGGTGATTTCGCAGCCTTGTGTTAGAATTTATTTCAGTAAACAGAGAGAGCCTGTGGCTCGCTCACTCGCTCGCTTAGTTCGGCGTCTACCGCAGTTGTGAGTGGATACTGTATTGGTTGTTTGCAGCGGCTCAAAAAGATCGCTGTACAAATAAATACAAAATATTCGAAAAACAAATTTCATACATAGGTACTTGATTATTATAATAATCAGAGATTTTTATTACAATATTTTAAAAGCACAGAATAAATAATAGTAGTACGTACTAAAAGTAAGTAGGATGTAATATTTATACTTGAATACGTCTTGGACTTTTTGGAGTGACATGAATGATGATATGATGATCATATGAGCATTATGAGTCGTGCACTTTGGATTTTCCAAACTTTTTCAAATTGAAGTTTGACATAAAATTATCGGAAAATTGGAAGTATAATAAGGTTATTAGTGAAAATTTGTGTGTATTTAAACTACTTTAAAAAAAATCCGTATAATCATGCTATACGTAATTTTTTTAATGCGAAGGCATGCTCAATTGGTTTTACCAATAGTTTTTTTTTATTCTGCTGTGGTCTATACTCTCTGTCCAGTGTCAATTGCATGACGTACTAATTTTTATGCATTCCGCCGTTGGTTGCTCTTCTTGCGTGAATGTGTGCTCTCCGATGTTAATACACTGGAGAGCACACATCCACGGAAGAAGCTTTTATTGTGACCAGAAATACTTGAGCACCCAGAAATACTTTTACTTGTAATAAGTTAGTTAGGTACTTCGAGGTAATTTTTTATTACCACCCAGAAATACTTGAGCACTCAGAAATCCTTACAGTTGTGATAGGAGACAACCCCGCTCCACCCTCCTACTGGAGACGATAAATGTTATCATTTTAAGATTGGTTTCTATGGGATTTTCTTTTCGATTTTTCTCAAGAACGGTGTATTACCTTTTGATGGAAGTGGTGTCGAAGGTTAGGGGACACCGCCTCCCCCCATTCATTCAATCAGGGGGTCATCATTTAACCAAGACAATATTTAGCCTTTACTATACTATAATAATGTTCGAAATTAATATATTTTAACTTTTGCTTATTAATGAATTTTAATTGTTAAAAATATTTTATCTGATATTTTTAGACAACTTTATATAGAAGTTACTTATTATTTATAATTAAACTTAATGCATCGTCACAGTACCATCATGTTGTGACGATTGTGAGTGAACTTTACCACAATTTAGTACCTATATATATGTGTGTATATATATATATATATATATATATATATATATATATATATATATATATATATATATATATATATATTATTCTCCATTATGAAAAGTATTTTTTAAATAACACTATATAGTTAGTATACGCGATAAAATCCTTAAAAATTAGTTTTATTTAAATGTGTAGTGTTCGCGTAAATATAAGAAATCATTAAATAAATTTTTACTAACAATTGAAGAAATCTGATAGCTTACATAAAATTTGTCAATTACAAGACGATAGACGCGTCCATCACGTACACGACCTGCACGACCAGCACGTTGTTCGCAGTTCGTTTTTGAAGCCCATGATAACTGTAGTGATGTGAAGTTTGTGTTCTCGTCGGCCACAAGCACCTTCATTAGGCAGTAGTCAATCACTACAACAACCAATTATTTACTCAATTTTTTTCCTTGTTGTATTCGAAACTTTATTACTAAGCCAGACATGAAAACTAAATTGACAGATCTTTCTACAAAAGAGCTACATAATTTAAATATTTATGATACGTGTTATAAGTTAAAGACTAGATGAGAATGTTTGTGACAATTAATGAGGAGAAATAGAAATAGAAACTTTTTTATTCCGCTATATTGATCCTGGGAAGAACCAGCAAGAAACCCAATGGAACATTATTATACAAACAATAGAACAGTTTAAAAACATAGTATATATCTAATTTAATTTAAATTTAATGTATCTAATATGTTTTGTGTAGATAAAGCACAAATAACACACAAAACAAATTAGAAATAGCTTGGTAGCGATCACTTCATTCCCTGTGGTTATTATCATCCATAAATTCCTTAATATTATAATATCCCTTTTTATACAATCTTTGTTTAATAAGGTTTTTTAACTTGGCACTGTTGTAGAAGAGAGACGTAAGATCGCTTCTTGATAAGATTGATTTTCAAAACAAATATAACTTCAGTGTCAGTCGCATATCCCCATATCAAAATACCATACGACAATTAGCTATGGAAATAGCTAAAACAAACTAGTGTAGCTGTATCAACGCTGGTAAAATTTCTCATCTTTTAGTAGAACTAAGGATGTCTATCTTATGAAAAACTAAATCTCATATCGATGTTATTTATTGTTAATATTAGTCAAGCAGAATAAAAAAGTAACATCTAGAGTAAGAAATTGAAATCGATTTGTTAGTTGTTACTGTAAAATTAATTTGAGTTAAGGCTCAGATATATTAGCAAATATAAAGTGACTGTTATAACATTGCCGATCTGAGACTCCTATACTCCTGAGTCTTTATATTTTGTTCCTAAATACCAATTTAGGAACAAAATATTTAAAATTTATAATTATAACGTCGAAAATCATGCTTACCATACTTGATATCAGGTACAGTGATAGAGCTCTCAGCAATGTTTGTGGCGAGAATGATCTTGCGATGGCCGACGGGCGCACGTTGGAACACGCGGACCTGTTCGTCGGCAGTAATAGTCGAGTGCAATGGCAGCACCCACCAATTATATCTCGCACATTCTTTATCACATATTTTCGTCCTAAAACAAAAGTTAATTGGCTAGATATTGGGGTCCAAAAATTCAAAGTCACATTTTTATACTGAAAAAACTATATGCGTGATAATTTTTCTTATTGATAACATCTATACAAATAAATAAGAGTCTGTTTGTAATGTCAAAATAACAGCTTTTTACTAACTGTATATGAATGTATATACAATACTTATAACAAAAAAACAATTTTTGAAATTTTTGTCTGTTTGTTCAGGCTAATCGCCAAAATGACTGAACCGATTTTGACGGAACTTTCACTGACAGATTACTGGTGTTATAAGAAGTAACTTAGGCTACTTTAATTTTAGAAAAAGAATTAAGGCTCCGCGCAAAACAAAAGCCTTGAAATCCAATCATAATAAATTCCACCCAGGTGAAGTCGGGCGGAACAGCTGGTTAATATATATTATAATAATAACTGTCATTACTATAGTACATATGTAGACGTAAAATTTTTAAGTGTCATTTTTGTGCATTCATTCAGACATAAAAACATATATTGTAATGAATACAAACAGTAAATATAAAAAATTCTAATATACTACACATACACGTTTGAAGCAACTGTAACTTAATATACTTCGTGTTTAGTCCAAATAGTTCAAGACTAGAACTGCTTAAGGTATAACTCATTGTGTTTGTTTTTTTTTTAAATGAAAACTAGATTTATATTATTGGCAATGGTTTGGAATCTACCCATATCCCATTAGCACTTAAGAGCGTAGTCGGTCTGCGCGGGAATTGAGAAATAGGTATTTGAAGAAACTATTGCCGTCGCACTGCGCCCGAGCAACCGAGGTATCAATATGTGAGTGAATAATCTGTATTTGTGTGCCGCTACGCACACAGTAACACGCATCTTCCGCGCGCGCCATGCTTACGGACTTGATTTTTTGCTTCACTGTTTTGACTCGGCTTGTGGATTGAATTTGAATACCAATTTGTTCCAACGACTAGAGAAAAATTATGAGTATTATTTTATTTGTAAATAAATTTTATCATTTTACCTTCAAATCGACAAAAGAAATTCAATAATTTAACAAAACACTGCTTGTAAAGTACAAGTCGTGTTTTGTTAAATTATTGAATTTTTTTGATAAAATTTCAATTTATAAATATAATCATAATATCATATTAATTTTTGCTTCAGGTAAACCCTTTTTCGTTAATAATAGGTCAAAGAAAAGGGAATAAAACGCGTCTATTCTTTAGTGCTAAGAGAAAAAACCTTCATTTACGTATTTACGTATAAAACGGAAGATTAATTTTGCACCGTGTACAGTACCATCCAAGTAATTAAAATTTCATATATATTATGGTCAAAGGAGCGTAAGGTGGTCAATTTTGAATGGCATGGCTGGATTCTACTCAAGATGGTACCTACTTGTCATAAGGCGACAATAAAATAAAAGCAGCAACAACAATGCTTAGTATCTTTATTTCGCACGTGGTTTATCCCATATTTATCCCATCTCAGCGGATAAAATACCACCAGTTGCGGACGCTCGTAATATGCATTCATGTCAAATTATAATATGCATTTAATTAGGTATATATTGCGTATCTCTATGGCAATAAAATATTATAAAACAGTATCATTGAAATTCACCTTCCGAATGGGGTTGCCATCGGTGATAGGGCTTGTACTTGTTTTATAATTTTTTAACCGACTTCCAAAAAAGGAGAGGGTTATATGCTCGACTCAATGTATTTTTTATGTATGTTCACCGATTTCTCCGCCAATTGTGGACCGATTTTCAAAATGCTTTTTCTATTCGAAAGCTTACACTTTTGAGGTGGTCCTATTGCCACCAAGTCAGAATCTGATGATGGGATCCCAGGGAAATCGAGGGCAACCCTCAAATTTTATAGGCACTTATAATGTTTTTCATGTACTTTCTAACGCATCTATTTGTGCCTGGTAATCTTCATCTCATGTTGCTGAGATGATGATGGAAGGTATAAGTTAGGATGGATAGCATCCCAAGAAAATTAAGGGCAATCCACAAATTTTATGGGTATTGCTTGAAACAACATACTTCTAATGTGTTCACATGGTCATCATGTCAGGATCTAATGAAGGGATCATGGATAAATCGAGGGAACTCTCCAAACTTTATAGACACATGTAGGCATTATACCTGGTAATCACCATATCATGTTGCTGAGCTGATGATGAAAGGTATAAGTCAGAATCTGATGATGGAATCCCAGAAAAATCATGTGAAACACTCAAATTACATAGGCACTTTTAAATGTTTTTTTCATGCAACTTCAGAGAGAGTCGAGAGCCTTTTGAAGAAAACGCAAGCTTTTTTTTCGTCGGGGTCGATCAGCTGGTGATCTTCTGGTCTACCTGACTCATAGATGGGCGGAGGTAGTAGAGTCCAAGGGGAGGGATCCTCGGCGTCGACATATCGAGTCACGTGCAGTTTCGTGGTCACTTGGAAGAGAAGGCCAAATTGGCCTCTAAAAAGCTTGGCGTGCTCAGCAGAGCGTGACAGTATTTCATGCCGGCACACCGCTTCCAACTTTACAAGGCGCAGGTTTGGCCTCACATGGAATACTGTTCCCATCTCTAGGCTGAGGCTCCCCCTGAGGATCGATTTATTAGCGCTGCGAAGAGATGTTGCATCCCTTTGCATTTTCATTCACATTTACCACAGTTTTCTTCCTCACACAACTTCCTTGTGGAATCGATTACCATCAGCGATTTTTCCAGACCAATACGACTTAGGGACCTTGAAGCAAAGAGCCTTCTCCTTTTTAAAAGGCCGGCAACGCATCTGCAACTCCCCTGGTTCCCCTGGTGTTGCAGTAGTTCATGGGCGGCGGTAGTCACTTACCATCAGATGAACCACATGCTCGTTTGCCCCCTCTGATGTAAAAATAGCTCCTCAACGTCGACCACTACATTCAATGACTTGCATTTAGTTTGTGATGACAATGATGGTCCCCCATAATGAAGAAATTCAAAACGACAAGTTATCAGGACGCAGAGATGTAGATATAAAATATTTGTTTGTCTTCTATTTCAAACATTTAGCACCATCATTTAGGCTGCACATTTGCCGATTTAATACTCCACAACGACAAGTTAATAAAAAGAAATCACAACTACTATTATCAAGTACAAGGCCAATTGTACATCACATGCCGAAGCTTTTGTTACTTTGTTTTGTGGAGCCCCAGGGGTGTATTCTATGAAAAAATATTAAGAATTTTCTTGATAAGAGCAGTCATTTTTTTATAAACTCCCCAGTAAAGCTGGCAAATCAAGTAAGCAGAATTATTCACCAAGTAGTAGAATGCGAACATTAGTTACGTATTATTTCACTAAAGTTCGCTAAAGGTCTTTTCGAATAATACTAGACGTAAACTCACTGAATTGTTAGGTTCTGTGCCGCCTGTAATTCAGTATAGGATAAACGTCGATATCGACTGACATCACTATGATATCGATAAAAACTTCGACAGTTGTCACTTTCCTAATTGTTTAGACTAATAAGTACTTATTAGTCTAACCATCCCTCACCTCTGTTCTCCCCCCGTAGAGTGCGATAGGGACAACTGCAGCTCAGAACGATTTTACCTATAAAAACCATGACCGAATCGACATTTCGTATTCTCCTGTTTTCTCCTCGAAAACTAACCCGATTATATTATTTTTGGTATCAAAATTTAAAGGAAGAGTAGATCTATGCTCCTATTACTTGTTTTTATCTTAAAAACTTTTCAAATTTGTTTGGTAGTCGCCTGATTACGGAGGTAAAAACGGGGCATTTTTTTAGGTTTTTGCAAAGTCATATTTATTTTTGTAATAATCTTTTGGAAAAAAATAAATGACAGGGGCATGGACTCAATATACCTAGATTTTTATAAACAAAAACGATTACTCTAGAGGCATTATCCAGGAAGAAAATAGGGGAATACATTTGTATGGAAAAATTGCTGCCCGTCTACGCTCTTAAGCGGTAAGATCAAATGTAGATTTAGATGCATTGTCAAAGAAGTCGATAATCATAACTCGAAACTAACGGCGTCTTATTTGTACCTGTTAACTCCAGCCGGCAATCGAATTTAGAAACCGAGGCGTAGTGATATGGCTAACCATTCCTGGTAGTTACTCAGAGGTTTTTTTACACAGGGAATGGAATTTTTCTAGAACTTTATATTTTTTAGGTAAGGCAATAAAGAGATATGACGCAATTCTTCACACAAATTATTTCTATAGTGCTCATATCCTTACCTCAATGCACCATCAGTCAAGCAAGCATACAGCTCCTCAATTTCATTGATTCCAGGCAGAAATATTAATACAGAGGGTAAGTCAGCCTGTGATCGGTCTGTGTAGCAGTCTTCTTGTTTATCTATCTGCTCAAATGCATTTATCAGCTTGATTACCAAATGATGCATTTCAGGATTAATGCCGGGTGATTCGCCTTTAGGCGTGGCTTCTTGAAGTATCTGTAACATTCATGTTACATATTAAATCTAAGTATTAAATTTAGCAATTAACGAACGCGTTTCTAGACCCTCTTTTGTTTGTCGGATTTCGCCATAAGTGAGAGACCAGTACCCAAGTGTGGCAAACCCATCCACCATCCCTGTATGTATGCATGTACCCTGACCTACCTGTACAGGATATATGATAAATGTTTCAAGAAATGAGTTCTGACATCCAGCAGCAAATGCGAAAAAAAACCTTACCTAAAAGACTACCTACTAAAAGACTTGCCCTCTCAGAAGTGACATAATTTATGTGAAGTTGTTAGATCTTACAAATAAAATATGAGTTTATTCCATTACTCAGTAAATTCCTAACTTTAATTTTTACTTCCCATCTAAATAGATCCTATATAAAATAAATAATTCAATCTATAATAAAAGAAAAGAATGTATTAAGATTTGCATTATATTTTATGCAGTTATTGAACATTTTTTTAAATAAAAAGCTTTGAAATTGTTATCCCTCTATTATCATAGAAAAGCTAGTATGAATGTTTTTGTAAAAAAAAAGCAACATTAAAAATAGTTGTAAAATGAGACAAAGGGGAGCTGAGCTTCACAGAACCTTAATTACACTAGTATTGTTTAGTGATATTCAATTTTTATTATTTTCATAAACAATTATTAATTATTTATGCATATCCCATAATAAATATACAAGCTAAGATCAAAAGACTGTTTCGGTGAAAAATAGATTAGATGACTTAATGAAAAATAAGAAAAAACATATTTGAATTATGAACCTATTCTTTTTTTGAAGTCGACTAAAAATCGGTCTCTCGTCTACTAGTATTCTGTGAGAATGTGGTCCTTAGCCAGCTGAGCTGACCCATTTGTGGTGCAGCCATAATAAAGCTGCAGTATGCAATATTGCCACATACAAAATAACAGATTAAAATATTACACTGACAAAGTCCTGATGGTAAGCAGCTAACGCAGCCCATGGACAATATTTTTTCGTTTTCTTAAGCTAATAAAAGTACACTATTGGACATTGGCTTCTTCTGTTGTTGGGAGGAGGGAGAATTTGCCTTAATAGTCAATCTTAGCAGACGGATTAATGACTAGACGAGACGACGTCGAGGGTGCAACATTTGTCAATTTTGTGGCACACTAATAACCACGATCGACCAAAGAAGGCATTATCAGTTGCCAACTTGGAGGTCAAAGATAGAATGCCTCGGAGCCTCATTTTATGGTTGCTTTCCATATCCTTTAAATCAGATGTTGCATGACAAGAGAAACAAGTAATAGGGTAGTACCTAGCTAGACTGGTTGAAAAGCAGTTCTACCAACTACGAATGTTAGTAGGTGATGACATACAGCTAGGTACTTACAGATCCAAACTTATTCAAGTGATTCAAATAGAAAGTCTTCACTGTGAACATTGGCTCTTTCTTCACCACTTTAATACATGTAGACATCTCCAGGCCACGAGGCGTCGGTATCATGAAGTAGTCGGCGAAAGCCTTTCTATTGAATGTGGCCGACATGAGTACCACTTTGACCCGCGGGGATACTGTATAAAGCAGCTTTTTTACAACAAGCAGAAGGAAGTCCATCTCCTGACCACGCTCATGCACTTCATCCAATATAACATGCGTGTATTCATTCATATTTTTGGCAGCAACTAAAATAAAAAGTTTTATACAGATTTTCATTCCATTTCTTAGTAAAAATAAATTGCAGTGATGGGCGACCCCCAATACGTGGTGCGGCGATCTGATAAAAGAAGCAGGTAGTCAATGGATGCAGTTGGCACATCACCATGCTTTGTAACAATCTATGAGAGAGGCCTGTGTTCAGCAGTGGACTAGTGAATGGTGAATGCATCTATATAGTGTGCAGTATATATGTGGCAATCTTAAAATGTTATATATTATGTCATATTACTTATATATATAACAGTAACCAACTTGATAGTCTCTTGTCCAGTTTCTTTACAACTTATCGCTCTCGCCCTAACTTATTTATGTCTGAAATAAAGCTTATACAGTAAAGTCACAGGTAACCAAGCTTCACCTCATATCTAGCTGCAGAGTAAATCTTCCGCGTGTACAATGTTGTTTATATATATATATATATATATATATATATATATATATATATATATATATATATATAATATTATATTATAATAAAATTGTTTGTTCAGGGGACAGCGAAAGGGTTAAAACGCGTACAGTGACGATATCAACGAACTTACGGAACTTTATCATAAAATAGAACAGAAATGTATTTAATATAGATTATAACAATACTTAATGAAAGTAATTTTTTACTTTTACCACTGGTTCGGGAAAAACCTCTGTCCTGGGAAGAAACAAAAAGAACCAGCAATGAACCCAGTCAGACATTTAAAAAAAAAATCAATTTACAATATATATATTTTATACAGTTGCTATGAAGACACTAGAAACAGCATGGGTACAATTTTTATTATTCATATTATTAGAGATTAGATGATCTAATCTTTATCATTGCAGGTCACTTGTCAATAATCTGCGGGGTTGCCGTAATTATATCATAATTTTTTTTGGTTATGTAAAATGAATAGCCTTCATAGCCAAGTTTTAATGTAACCTGATATAAATCCCTACCATTGAAACAGCAAGCTTTCCAGGCTTTTAAGAAGGCAAAAAGTGCAATTTTTCTTTTACATTTTGTACTTAGCTATTTTAACCTTTTTAATCCTTTGATATATTTATGATAAATTACCTAATTTTTGCAGTAGTAAGCCAGTTGTTACATAATGGATGCGGGTATCATTTGAGACTCTACTCTCAAGCGCCACCTATAAAGAAATAACATTGATTTAATATCTGTATAATCATATTTATCAATGTACTATCATATAATTATAAAACAAAATATGTATTCATATGTATAAATATGCATTCCAAATCTGGACTCCTATCGAGTTACTGGAGAAGGTTCAACACATTAAAACATACTGTATGAAAAAGGCTGTATAAACTTAAACTAACGACTCTGAAAGATCACAGAGAATGAGGAGAATTGATTGGAACATATAAAATTATACATGTACCTTACGATCTAAAAAAACATTGACATTCCAGTACTCAAAAAACACATCTTAGGGGCTGCCATGCTGCAGCTATATTAGTAGTATAGTGTATCACGAATGGGTCGGCTCGACCGGGGAAGGACCACGCTCTCACAGAATACCAGCGTAAAATAGCAGCTCAATGATGCTGTGTTTCGTATGGTGAGTGTAGAGAACCGGAGACCCTTTTTAATGGAAAAGAGGCATTCCATCTTAGACCTCATGAGTGACAACGCATCTGCATTTTGAGTCTTTATTGAGGATAGATGTAGATGTCTATGGGTAACATCTACCACTTACCATCAGATGGACTGTGTGCCCATTTGTCACCCTATCCTATAAAAAAAATTAACTACAGCCGTGTCACATAATAACCCACACAAGCACTTTTTAGCCAAACAGTGGTTGAAGCATGGAATAAGCTATCTTTAGAAGTGATATCTGCACAAACCATTAACTAATTCAAGAACAGATTGGATAAACAACTAAAATAGAACATTTTCACATTTGAAACTAGGATACGGGCTTATATCCGTTATTTCAACTGCTGGCCTGTTAAATAATAATAATAATAATAAAATGCTGAAATAATTAATGAGTACAATACCAGAACTACTATTACTGTAAGTTTTTGGAAGTGCTCACCAAATTAAAATAAATCTGGTACATATTATAATTCTTTGATATTCCAAAAATAGATAAAAAAAGAGTAGACAAAAAGGAAGTAAGAAGTTCATTAATTATTCTTTTATAACATTACAATCTAAAAATCTTTCTTAACTACCTACCATAAAATTAAAAGTGAGCAAACTAATAAGCTTCAATTTATCATCATCATTACAGCGCTTCATAAGTCCACTGCTGAACATAGGCCTCCCCCAAGGAATGCCACAAAGCACAGTCCTGAGCCACCTTCATCCATCGACTTCCTGCATATCTTACCAGGTCGTCACTCCATCTAGTGGGGGGACGCCCAACACTTCGCCTGCCAGTACGAGGCTTCCACTCGTGAACCTTTTTTCCCCATCGGTTGTCGGTTCTTCGAGCTATATGGCCGGCCCATTGCCACTTCAGCTTACTAATCCGTTGGGCTGTGTCGGTCACTCTGGTTCTACTGCGGATATCCTCATTTCTAAGTTTATCACGCAGAGAAACTCCGAGCATAGCCCTCTCCATAGTTCGCTGAGCGACCTTGAGCTTCGTCATCCGGCCAGCACTACTATTTACTAATGCCTAAATAACTTTTATTTATCTAGACAAAAACTCACCGTGTAGCGGTGGCATAGAAAAATCTAACACCCTATTCCATCCATGGGTGATGTATTTTCTTATGCTAGGTTATTTAGAAAATGTATTTTTTTTATATATAATACCATAATATATTGTTTTATTCATATATAATATAATATTTTTATGTTTTATTCCATATAATACCAGATATAAAATAGGCTCACGTAATAAGAGATATTATTAAATTCACTTGATGACGACAGGATGCAGATTCACCAATCCTCCTGCAAAATGACGGTTATGGGAATTTTACCTTATTATGGAGGGTTGCATGTCCAGCCCCGGACTTTTAACAGGTTGATAGGTACAAGGAAATAAACATAAGACAAAATATTACCTGGTATCCAACTATACCGCCAAGGTCCCAGCCACGTTCCTGAGCTACTCTTTTAGCTATTGAAATAGCTGCTATTCTTCTTGGCTGAGTCACCACAATTTTGCACGGTTTACGATTCTTATATGAATCATCCAGAATCCATTGAGGTACTTGTGTTGTTTTTCCACATCCTGTTGGACCTTCAATTATTACTACTGGAAATCCTGAGATGCGATCTAGAATCTGAGGATTGAAATATTGCATTACAAGTATTAATCAAAGTAATAAAATTTTATTTACATATATAAAACAACAAGTACAATATGCCAAGATAGTGCCAAAAATGCCAGCTGCATTTCCTCATTAAATGACTATAACAGATAAGAAATGAAAGAGGTTCTACCTCGGTTGGATATAAAACTTAGAATAACTATCCAAGAGTTTTGTATACTGCATTTGTGGTGTTTGCCGTCAAGACAATTGCATGGTTCAAATAGGGCCTACGCTCACAGACGACACGGCATTACAAAGGATATTTTGTGGACAAAAGATTTTCGGGTAAAACTATATCTGGTACTTGCGTACGGGGGTGGGAGAAGGGTGTGGGTATGGGGAAGCCCCTCCCTGCCCCTCCCCCTTGCGGAAAATTATAGTTTGAGTAATTATTTTTTTTTTGTTATATCATAACCTCACTCTTTTTACACAGGAATATTGACCCAAAGTTACTTCTGCAAAGACTTCAGCGCTGCGGTAAGTGCAAATCGCAGGCACCCATGCTCACATCCGCAGTTTTGGCTTATTGGTCGCCTTCGGAGACCAGTCTTAACGGCTCACACAGGTGCCTGCGATTTGCCAGGGCGGGCGGGAGCTGCTCTCCCTCCGCGTCTACGGCTTTACAAAACACTCTAGGGGTAGGGCAGACAAGACTGCGTGGAGGCGGGGCGTGCAGATTCATTTTTAGTACAGATTCGACTTATCTTATCTATAAAGTCAGATTGCCCTAAACTTCGCTATTATTGTGGTAAACAATGTATGTAATGTGAATTCTTATAATTTTGTTTTCTGAAAAACCTCTACTGCTCACTGCGACTCAATTCATTGTGCATGAGTCCCATATTCAGCCACAAATGGATTGTCTGGTTCCAAGTAATTAACTTTTTATGGGTAACCTGTTTTGTTATATGAAATTTTTGGTTAGTGAATTTATTTTTATCGTAATTAATTCAAAATACATTTCCGAAATCCAAAACAGTGTAAAAGGTTCAAACTTAACCTTGACAAGCCTCCTAATCTGAACACATAATTAAAATTAAGTACCGTCAATAGCCAACCTGATTTTCGACCTTTTTTTAATGATCTTAGCACTGACATTCCTTTATTTCAACACGAATAGACCGAAATATCTAGCGTGACACTACGGCATTCTGCTGCATCACGTGAAACGCATAGGATACTTTATGTTGTTGAAGGAATGTGAGTGCTAAGTAATTGAAACAAGGTTGGTTGGGTATTCACCCCTTGAAATACTAAGACACACTGTTTAAGGGGTGAAAACCCTAATGATCATCCCTAATGACCTCTCTTTGCAAAACACAAATCAATTGTAACCACCATAAAGGAAGAAAGAAGAGGGTAGTAATTAGCCACATTTATTTGTACAAGCTAATATAGTATAATAAATGCATATATAAAAAAAATATTTGAAAAATTTGAAATATTTTGGCATGTTTAGATTATACATCACTCCATCTAATCCAGCAATCTATACAAATAATTAAAATTGAAGTGTCTGTTTGTAATGTCAAAATTACAGCTTTTTACTAATTGCATATGAAAGTATATACGGTACTTATAACAAAAACACAATTTTTAAAATTTTTGTCTGTCTGTCTGTTTGTTCCGGCTAATCTTCGAAACGGCTGGACCGATTTTGACGGGACTTTCACTGGCAGATAGCTGATGTCACAAGGAGTAACTTAGGCTACTTTAATTTTAGAAAAAGAATTAGGGTTCCGTGCAAAAACATAAAAACTCTAACACGCGAGCGAAGTTGCGTGGAACAGCTAGTCATATATATGACTATAAGAAATGCTATTAATCACTCCCCTCCAGTCTATTATCTCACCCCCATAGTACCATGAGATGGCAATCGGATGGTGGCCGGATGGACAGGATCAAGACTTTAAATGATATCTAATGGCGGCTTTTCACGTTGGCCAACATAGTGGCGAATGTGTTGGCAGAGATATTGGCCAAGAATTTGTGATCGCGTCCACGCGTTGGAAGGTCGTTCAGTTTGCTTCGGTTCAGGTCAATGTGCGGACGAATTTATTAAAATGATTATTGAAGCGCTAACGGCTGTTGCGGTTTATTTATTGACAGCATACCACTATTTTTTATTTAATTTTCACTATTTTTAATATTTAATATTTTTAATATAAATTTTTAATATTTCTTTATTATACACTAACGTTATACAGATAAGTAAACTATATAAACATTAACACACCTAGGCATAGGTATAATTAACTAAGGCCTGGAAAATATTCGAAGCTTGTCTATGAAACTGTTGTAAATTTTTTATTAAACAAAACCTTTTTAAAAAAGGGTTATTTACACTTTCATACACAAAGTAGTACATATAGCGAACTTAATAATAATAATAAATAATTTATTTCGTCAAACATTAAAGTTACATTATATGATCAGTGATCGAGGTCACCTAGTAAGCAAAATAATGCCTGTAACAAGGTGACTTCGCTCTTCCATAGCTAAAAATTACAGTATTATTAACGAAATAAAGTAACTAACTAATAGGGAATAATAAAGACAGTAAAAACATGATTTTAGTATCCCAACTTTTAATTTGATTTTAATATCTTACCTAGTCTCCTAGCATTAATAAATCAATTAATACATCAATAAATCAATTAATACATCAATAAATAAATGAATACATCAATCACTACAACGTGAATGTGTATAAGAAAAGGGTGATCAAAAAGAAATTTTATTTCTTGGCGGCTCCGTGGCGTAGTGGCTTAGCAATGAGTTGCTGCGCTGGAGGCCGCGGGTTCGAATCCCGCACGGAACAAGTATTTGTATAGCCTGCACATAATTGCTCCGGGTCTGGATGTTTGTCCTTATGCAATTTATGTTTCTAAACTGCCTCCACGATACAGGAGAAAATCCTAGTGTGGGGGTAACGTTTTTTTTTAAAAGACTTGTGTTTCACAAACAATTTTCGGCTTGGTAGGGCTCTATAAAGCGAAAAGTTTTATCTTTGGTCATTGTTACTGCCGTTATGTAGACACTAGTTAAGATGCGTGCATATAAAATTTAAATCAGGTGCGTGCAAACACTCTGGGAGCTCGTAGCAAACTGAACGTGCGCCCAACGTGTGGACGCGGCGGCCAATACCCTGCCACAACCCTTTGATCTTTTGTAAAAAACCGACACCAGACGGATCTCACGCCAACTTGTGGGCCATCGTTCCAATACGTACCAACGTAGCTTAAACACCCGATCTAAACGATGGCCATCGTTGTTGGCCAACACATTCGTTAGTATGTTGGCCAACGTGAAGAGCCGCCTTAAGGCAAAATGGTTCAACATCCTGACTGCTACTGAGAGCATAGACTTAGAATATACTAGCGTATAGACCGACATAGTGTGCAAGGGAGAAGAAAATTCCTTATAGCAAAAATGCAAGATAGAAAATGAAACGAAATCTCATGACTCTGTAACCGATTTTGAATGACAGATTGGCACAAGTCGGCACACAAGAAATAAGTAATTTTTTAGATTATAATAGTGTTAATATTTATAATTCATAGTTTTACAAAATGGTTACATGTTCCATGAGTGACTGTGGTGTCAATAATAGAAAAAATCCTGATTTCACAGGTAAATCCGCAAGACGTCGTTACTGCTCTGACGCGTCTGTTTTGGTTAAAATTTATGCTATATACTGTTTAAAATATAGAATGTTTTCAATTATTTTATTAATTTTGATATTTTTCAAAGAAAAAAGTCATGCACCATGAAAATTTGTACGATTTTGGTGAATTCACTTTTAAACAAAATATATTACATGTACGCTAAGGATTGACTCAACTATATCAAAATTAATGTTGATATTTATCTTGAATGTTTTTAATGAATAGATAGACTTGCCCACACAACAAAGAGAGGAATGAAAATAAATGCTTATTTTGCGTTCTAAAAACGTAATCTGGGGGCACGGTGGTGCCCCTGCCAAGTCGAGCAAAAAAGTGGTACGGCCGTACCATCGTTTTCTCGAAGCAGTTCAGGCCATTTTCGACCCCCTATAACTTCGTTGTGATTGAAACTAGAAGCCTGAATTTTCAGTGTTGTATAAACACGGTATATTTCAAATTTCATTCAATTTGAACCAGTAATTTAAGAATTATAACTAGTCAAACTTTCTTAATTTTGTCAATCACTGACTGACCGATCATCAAAACTCTAAGGCACTTCTAGCAGAGGTAGAAGCTTCAAAAAAGAACGGTCACACCCCATAGATTAAAAACGCAGATCCGACAGAAATCAGACATATCTCAGATTTTTGTTATGTTTTATATAGTTAAATTATATATTTTTATATTCGAAATCAATGGCTAACATCAAAATATTGTCTTATGTTTTTGTTCAAGCGGTACTCTAAAAAAATACAAAATGCCTATTTATCTACAAAATTCGTAAATGTATGTAAACTAAATGACGATACAATAGCTATGGGATGTATGTAGGTGACCTGGAGATACAGCTGGATTATATAGTTTTTGAACTCCTAGTACAACAATCAACTTAGCGATTCATTAAAATCGTTGTATTCGATGATTCATTGCACATCAGAGATTTAGGTACTTATCATTGGGCTTCCATGATCTATAACAAAAGAAACAATATGTTGAAATAAAGTCTTTTTGAATTTCTACGTCCCTTAAAACATAATCCATACCCAGTGCGGGGTAGTCAAAGTGATCTCGATGTCTAGCCCACCCTAAGTAATAGACAACACTAATGACGTGTGAGCAACTTTCCAACGTCCTTTTACCATGGTAGCACGAGCAGTAATATTCTGTTATTGCGTTTATACCATTTATATTCTCATCAAACATAATATAATAAATTTTTTATGTAACGTGTCGTGAATGAATTCTGCACCTGATTAAAGTATTATTGTTTCAGCCCTTTACTGCCGCTGGATGTCTATATATCTCCATACTTGTGGTTTTCAAATGCTCACTGCAGTACGACCGTGCTAACCTCACATGATAATTCATTGAATCTAAGTTGATTGCTGTACTAGAAGTTTAAAAATTACATAATCCAGCTGCATCTTCAGATCACCTAGATACATCCCATAGCTATTGTATCGTCATTTAGTTACATACATTTACGAATTTTGTAGATAAATACGCATTTTTTTTTTGTGTATCACCTGAACAAAATCATAAGGCAATATTTTGGTGTTAGCCATTGATTTCGAATATAAAAAATATATAATTTAACTGTATAAAAAATAACAAAAAAACTAAGATATGTCTCATTTCTGTCGGGTCTGGGTCACAGATGACCGTTCTTCTTTAGAATACAATTAATGTTTAGTGTACAAATGAAGGAAAAACTAAAATATTTTGTAATTTCGGCCCAGTTTTCTAGATACACCAACTGAACTGAGTTCTGAGACTTGGTTTTTTTACAAGTTATGTTTTTGTTGGCATTATATTTTGCCGTTTGCAAAACAGATAATGAATGAAAAAACAGAAAATGAATAAGATTAATTGGGCGGGTTGGTTGAAATCCAAAGAACTCTACAGTTTGCAGCAAACATTTTCTTGAGAAATATAAAAGAAAATTCTTACATTATTTTTACCAGTAATCCCCAAAGAATTGAGCAGAGCTTCGGATTATATTCCCAAGTCACAGTGATAAAACTCTTTAGATATAATATATAGTAATGCTCTTGAAGCGCCCCTAGCAGCCCGTGCATGAGATGCGCGGTTCAGTGTGCCCGGATAGTATAAATTCCATAGTATTTGATACTTACAAAAACCCAATGCTCGTTTTATGCTTGATGCCCAACAACAGTGTGCCGAGGGCTTGATAGTGTGGTACATCGCCTACAGTGTTAATCGTAGAGAAGAGGAACTCGTGGTTAATTAACAGCTGCAAGGATCAATAGATCTGCGAGATTAGGCTGCACTTTTTGTAGTCAGTCCATGGATGGGTGACCATTTTCTTAACATACCGAGATTGAGAGAATAGACAGTGCATCTGTATTCACAGACATCTAGTACACTTTAATATCTCCTGCTTATATGGCTAGTCTGTGTAAGATCATTATGTTTTTAAATTCATGGAGCTAAAATGATAATAAGTTTATTATTTTTCAGGGACAAATGAAAGAGTAGCCTCATAAACATTTTCATTAAACAGAGCAATTTTATTTCACTTCCTACAAGTTTCCTTACTTAAATTATTAAGTTTAAACTCATATTTAAGTCGAATGTGGAAATTAATTTCAATAATGTATTTAATTAATAATTACTAAATGTTTTTAATTATTAAAAGTAATAGTTATATAAAAAATTCTGTGTACTTAGTGTCCCCATTTTTTATTTCAACAGCAAAACATTTTATAAAACATATAAAGTTAAGTAGGTATATACTTAATGAAATATCTACCTATTTATAGTTGATGTTATGTTGTGTTAAAAAAGAAATTCCAGCGAAATTGTTCGAAAATACAACTTTCCGATCTGATTCTTGGGGGAAATTGTTTAAGTTTATCAGTAGACTAATCAGAGATTATTGGGACTTTGTGAATGCACATTTTGAATTAAAATCCAACAATAGACAGATTGGTGCAGCTTATTCCCAGAAATATGTTATTTGAATATTTTTAATTATTTGAGAACTATCAAGGAAAACATTCAGTAAATTTTTGAAGATATTCAGTTTCGTGCACTAAACCATTTTTTTAAATCTTTTTACCGATTCCTTAACAATAATTTTTCGATAGTCCTTGTAAGTAAAATGTACATCACTAGCTAACGCACACAATGACAAATCAAAATTGGTAACACATTTTCGGGCTGTCAGGTTGTTTATACACCAGTATAACATCTAAGTCCATGACTGAGAATTTCTTGATGGATAAATTCAATAACTGATTTCGGCCTGAATCGGGTTTTATGCCTGGAACCACATGATCAACAGTTGCATAGTGATTAGTATAATTTCTGACCTATCTCCAAAATATAGGAATCACTGAAATCCTATACTGTGAAAGCATTCTGATAAAGACTACGATGTAATGTCGTGGCTGCAAGAGAAAACACCACACCACAGCAGTTACCAACTCGCTCACCTAGCGCAGGTTGTATAGCCTAACTATGGCAAATATAACCCTTATGAGCCAATAGGTTGGCTCATAAGGGTTATATTTGCCATAGGGACGCCTGTGTTCAGCAGAGGACTTGTGATGGGCTGTAATGAAAAAAGAATAAGACAGTAAAGAAGAAATCCCACCTGTTGTCTGTACTCATTTATAGCTAAGTTATTAGTATCCTCCTTCCTTTGGAATGAGTATTTGCTATACACTTCAGTCATTGCTTCTTCTGTTAGTTCTTGAATATTTTGCATTGACGTACCCCACGATGAAAGATGCTCCATAGAATCTAGTCCACCAGCAATACTCTCATACTTTTCTCTCTCCCTTTCATTCTAGAATTGTAAGTTTTTAAAATAATAAGAAAGAACAGTAGTATTGTATGTATACAATAAAAATATTGCAATTTACAAAGAATAATAATAACAACACCTTAGCAAAATTAGTTCATTACCCTCTTCCAAGGCTGAGCCAATATTTTCTGTATGGATTAATTTTTAGAACTAAGTAAAAATACCTTTAAATATATTTGTGTTTCTCTTTCCTTGATTTCTCGCGCATAATCAGTGCCGCTTACAACAACAGACCGGCGGTGCTCTTCAGGTCTGTTAAGTTGATTGATATTATCTTCTTTAGTAACTCTGTGTCCACCAGTAATTGGACCTCGAAGTTTTGTAACTTGAGAACTAGATGGGAACGGATTATTAAAAAAAGCCCGTAGCTCGTCCATTCTTGAAACTTAAAATTGAAGTACAACTTTCTTTCTATTTCACCAACACAAACAGATTATGATAAAAAACTTTACTAATTGTTATTAATTGGTTTCGGTTTCGCAAGTTAGCTACAAAAATAAAGTTTTGTATATGGTACCTACAAATTCAGTATTTTTGAAATAACAACCATAATAACCATAACTTGACATGTCACAGACCAATATTTTTTTTAATAACTGGCTTTACGGCTGTGGGATCTAGCCTTTCTGAGCCTGAAGTTATAATATATTATAATTATCCTTCATAGTATACTGCTTCACAATATGTTGATGCGTCACAATGTGAAGCCCTTGAGAGATTTAGACGGCAACTTGAGCCAGCAGACAACTGACGATTGGCGATGGTATCTCAAGGCGCCTAAGCAGACAGACATCTTATTTTGAGAATCACATCACCATCAGAGTACACAAAATCGCACCACTTTTACATATCAAAGTCCACTTCAAACCATTATTTAAACAATAATACAGGAGCAGCAAACCGCCGCCGGTCAAATTCCCGCCAGAACTCCCAGACCAATATTCAGTAGTCTGTGGCATAGACGCAACTAAATACACAAATTAATTTCTGTCTAACAAAGTACTCTGTGACTCTATGTCTGTCTGTTGAGAAGTATTATATTATTATCTATGGTATATATAATGTACTCTGTGGGAGTGGAGAACCGATGACATAACCAAAATCACTAACTTAGAAGTATGGAGTGTAGAGTAGAAGGAGGACCATCTCTGTATATGAAAAGTGTCCCTAAAAACGTGTCCAATAAGGGTGGCGCTGCAGTAGCATAGGATAAATTAAAAAAGAAGCGCCAAAAGTATTTAGAGTAAGATGGAGAAATAAATATGGACCGATCAATCCGCTTGGTTTTGTACTACATAAATAGTTGAGATTTTGTATATTGGCGTTTTACTAACTACTCTAGTCATGAAATATTTGAATTCAGCTGACTTCACTCCGTTCATAACAGCTATCTTCATATCGTAGTTTTTCAGACGCCAGCGCTATTGTGGTAGGTTTTGGAACCTCTATTTACAGTAAATAGTAGGACACTTTTTCAACCTTCGCTCCTTATAAGATGGTTCTCCTTCTACTCTACACTCCATACTTAGAAGTATATGGAGTATGGACTGGGCATACCTACAAAATTAGCGTGACTACCTAAAAAAATCTAGCGCATAAAATGGCCGACTTTTATAGGGTTGTAATTCAGGAATATGGGCAGCTGACATCGATATTTTTACTAATATGAGTTTGTTCTTATTTCATATTATATGTATAGATAATTATAGAAATTAAATCCATAGCCTAATTGCCTAAACCTAAAATGGCAAACCATATCAATTTGACAGTTTAAAACATCCATTCCGTGGTTTTTGTTGTCAAGCAAACGAATTTTTCAATCACATGAGGCAATGGATATTGTCGGGTTGTTAAATTAGTTTTGGATTGCTATCCCTTAAATTTCGCTTGAGCTGCTTCACGAGGCTTCACCGCATATGTACACTTACGCAATGCACACTGCTACAGATTTTTTGTGTTAGGTACACAGTCAAACAATGAGTTAAGTATGCAGGCAGCTAACTTCCAACTTGTTTTAATCAATGTTCTGAGTGTGCTAAGTGCTTATTCAAGTTTTGACGTTATACTTCTTTTGGTGCGTTTGAGAAAAAGATAAGAGTGAATTTTTTACAACTTCAATTGGTAATTATCTGTCAATTGTTAAGTTTTCGTGAGAACTGATAACTATATTCGAGGTAGTTATTCAAATATATATGAATGTATAAAACGTGTTTTATTTTTGTTATTTTTGTTTTGTTACGCTAAAGAAGTATAACTTCTTACGTGCGTACATAAGTACACACACACGTTTTGTTTTATATCAATGTGAACAAAGTTAAAAAGTTATAACGGACACAATAAAAATGAATATTGACAGAGTAGTGCGAAAATTAATATTTTTGCTTGTATACCAAATACCTTTATTTACTGTACAATAATATTGAATAAAAATTAAATAAACTGTTTTTAAAATCAATACTTATTTATTATTAATTGGTATATAGGAACGTTCTGCACATAATTTATCACAAATGGTAAGTTATATAAGCATGTTCGGTTCTGCTGGATATTATATTTAATTATTTTTACTCAGATTTTAAATGAAAAATATTATTATTTTCGCCGGTACATTAATTTTTTTAAAAAACGTTTTATTCACATGCCGACCCCGCCAATGGGCGGGCAGTATGCGTATTCAGAATTAACAAACCTTTTGTTAAAATTTTAATCAAAAACTATAAAATAAAGGATATTTACATGTAGTGATAATAAAATATAAACTTTATTGTTCCTTGCTCCTTATCATTAAAACTATATAGCCGTAACAATATACAAGATGTTACCAAAAAAGCAGGTAATAATAATTAGGGATTGATTTTATTGCTGAAATACAACAACTTCTTCTGTAGAATCTACATCCAAATTTCAAAAATAATGGCTTCCACATACTAAACCGCCAATCATCTGAGACGAGTTTATGTGGCGATATGTTTTTTTTTTTTTGAGATTTCGATATAGGTCCCATAGAAGAAGTTGTTGTTTTTGAGCAATAGAATCACAAGATTTTACCCGCTTTATGTAACAACTTTTAGATAAGGCAATATACTGTCGGTAACTAGGAAGCAAGATTAGAATGCAGATGATGATCTACATAAAAGGAATCGATTGGTAATCGTCACTGTAAAAGTAGACACACCTTTGTTTTGATCACCATATGCAATTTTTCAGTATGATTTATGATTTAATTTTGGCTAATGACCTATTTCGGATTGCGTTTCAATAGAGATGAGATCATAAACTGTCGGTAAATAGGAAATAAGATAAGAATACAGATGGTGATCTGAACAAAAGGAGCCGGTCCGTAATAGTCACTTTGAAAACAAAAGATGTGCCGATACCTTTTGTTATGGACACCAATAATTTTACAACTTGCATGATTTATGATTTGACGTAAGTAGCGTATTATAGAAAAAAATAATTTACGGAATAAAGTTTTCACTCGCATCTTGACGTTCGTGGTTTTGACAACTTGAGTTTTGATGAGTGTTTTGGGAGTTCGTTTGCTGTTTGACTTAGTGCATCGAGTTGAGAACATCTCCTCTTCTTAATTCCTACCTGTGAACGAATATTTCGTTCACAGGTAGGAATTAATGCAAAAGAGGTAAGACGTGGGAAAAAAATTAAACATACAAAAAAGTTGACTAAGCATGACAACAATAACAAATAAAACTGGCACAATTTTTTCACAAATAACACAAAAATATACGCAAACACTATCTACGCAATGCACATGACATGTAAATTAGACATTAAAAATATCTCACGACGAAAGGAAGGCCACATGCCGAAACCGCCAATGGGTGGGCCAAGATACTTTATCGATGCCGGGCCCGCCGATGGGCGGGCTGAATACCAATATAAGGCGGCATGGGGGTAATGTTAGAACTTCTTAGGAAGGCAGTGAATGGGTTAATTTAAAATAATTTCTATCGACACCATAGATAAGAGTGTACGACACTATTTCACTGCTTTATTGACAGTTTGACAGCAGATCTACCTCAAAACTTGGCACTTAACATGGCGGCGCAGTCACGCTTGGATGACCTAATGACGTCACACGAAAGTGTTACCAAAATAAGCACTTTACAAACTGTAGATGTCTCTCTTTTCTATTGCAGCTACTGCTTTGTTAAAAAGAAACAAAACTGTTTTTGACAAGTGTGTGTCGATATTATAGATATTTGAATAACTATTATTTCTATAGTGGAATATGCCCTCTCCAACCAAAATCGTCAGCGTTGCCAACACCAATTTGTCGAATTCCTTGAAAATCCATGTCAAATTCTTCAATTTAGGGACAATATTTCAACTAATTCCCCATAAATTCCCCTTAATTTTATTTAAAGAAATGAAACAAATTTTATAAGATTTATTTTTAACTAACATTTGTTTGAATGAAATTTTTTTCACACTTTATATTTTTGTAACCAGCATTTTACTCCTTGGAGTATTTTTAATTCCTTCCCGTTTCCTTAAAAAAGTGCCACAGTATCTGCATTTTCCATGCGGTTCTCTGCTTTAAAATTAAAAAATAAAGAAATAAGCATAAATGATACACAAAAGTTGCCGAAGTAAATCTGAAAATTAGATGTAGTGCAATTAAGATAATTAAAAAGGGACTCATTCGATATTCATAAGTAACCCAACAAAAAGTATTAAGATAAGTATTTAGATTTCTTAAAAATAGTTTCCGACTTGGCCCGGGCTATCGATTTCCAAAATCCCCACATTTTTCTCGAATAATATCAATCCTCAACCAACTGTAAATTCCCTGCAATTTGGGGAATTACACACGTTGGCAACTCTGAAATTTGCAGAATCTACCACAGAATATGGTAATATTTAGAAGGAACCCGTCATTATTACGTTTACTCAGAACCATAGATAAGGGTGCGCAGAACAATTCTTTTTTAAATGTTACTTATATGAATTATACAACTAAAATTTTATTAGAAAGAAGGAACCCGTCATTATTACGTTTACTCAGAACCATAGATAAGGGTGCGCAGAACAATTCTTTTTTAAATGTTACTTATATGAATTATACAACTAAAATTTTATTAGAATTAGTTTCGTTACTAAATTACGCTTCTCTAAATTAAGAGAATTTACCTAAAAATTACGAGTTTCCGCCTTTACCTACGCGTCACGTTTACTTCATGTCACAGAACACAATCACTCTTTACCGCGAGAAGAACGCCAACATCATACTAAGAAAAAGAAACACGTGTTTGTAAGTGTACACTAAAAGCACATGAATAAAGAAATCGTACCGTACAGGGGCAAAGCTTCATACAACCGCGCTGTGATAGGTACACTACCACAAGCTTGAGGCGCATGTATGCGTGAGCACTGGCGGCTCGTCACGTACAGAGAAAAACTGTTGAAGCAGCTCGGCCAGTGCTCAAATTCAGGGTTGTGTAAAAAATAATAAGTGTCAAATTTTGTTTTTTAAAAGAATAATTCGTATCAAATCAAATATAAAAAGTGTAAATATGATTTAAGTGGATTTAAATTTTAACGAGGTTGCCGCAAGAGATACCGCTGATTTTGTAAATAAAATTAATAATTTGCTTGCTTTCTTAAACTAGTAAAATAAGTACACTGTAATATCCAAATAGATGTTTTTTTTTGTAGGCATTGAAGGGAAATTTTCATTATAATTGTTAAATAAATTTTGAGTTTGTTTTGTTTGTAAGACTTTAGCATAAGCAGACCTATTATATTTTTCATTATTTTTTTATTAAACAATCTCTAGAAATTGCGACATGAGTGCCACTACAATTTAGGCATTTATTATTTCGATGATAGTTTTTTAAATAGCTCTTCATAACTTATGCTGATGGGAACAAACCTGAGTACTCCGATTGTTTCCACCGCCCTTGCTGGTGTAAATGCCTTGTAATCATACTTCTCTAAACTTTCATTTTTCAAAAAGTCGTTGGCGTTAATCGCCCGCACAAAAAAGCCATACCTACTTTAGAAGCGTTTATTCTTCTTATATTAGTGACTATTGATTTCGTTTTTAAAAATTTCTGCCAACATTAAGGGATTCGTATTGCCTACTTTAACTCCTTTACGACTCTCAGTAAAAACCGTGTATTCAACCATTCCCATTGACTCAGGGAAAACTCTTTTATAATTTATGTTGTAGTATGGCTTATAAAAATCATCATTTTCCTGCTGCAGGTCTTGACTACGCTTTCGTTTTCCCGCCCGCGTCATGATCAATGCCGTCACTATCGGACGGCATTTCTCTTTATTTCGTATAAAATGAGAGAATTTTCCTTCAGAAGTTGAAGTTAAAATTAGGCTAGCTAGTGTAATTTTAATTTTTTTTTATTATTTTTATTTTTTAATTTAAACGCGGATATTTGCGAAGTAAATTTTTGTAAAAGCTTTTATATAATGGATTTCCGCAAAGTAACGCCTGATTCTATTAATTCTATTAATTATTTTAATTTTTTGTCTAGAACAAGTAAATGAAATTGTATACTTGGGGAGTGCTTTTAGCCGGGATGGAAGATGTGATTTAGATGTGGACAGGCGTGTCGCTGCCGGGAACAAAGTCAATGGTGCCCTGACTGCGTTAGTCAAAAGGCAAGGCGTAGTGAAGAGTGCACGCCTTGCAATACATAACGCAGTGTTGGTACCGACTTTGTTATATGGCAGCGAAACCTGGGTATGCCAGAAGAAGCATAAAAGCAAGTTGAATGCAGTGGAGATGCGATCTCTTCGTAAAATGTGCGGCGTTACCATGACCGACCGAAAGCGAAACGAAGAGATTCGCAATATGGCAGGTTTGAAAGATGACCTTATCACAAAAATTGATAAGGGCGTGCTTCGGTGGTTTGGGCACGTTGAGCGAATGAGTGAAGACCGAATGGTGAAGAAAATATATATAGCGCGAAAGTTAATATTAAAAGGTGTCGAGGTAGACCGAGACTAACTTTCGAAGACCATGTGAGCAAATTGCTCGAAGAGGGTAGGGTCAAGAGTACTCGGATACCTAGACGTGCATGTATGAAGAAGATAATGAATCTGAAAGAAGCGAAAGAGGTATTTAAGGATCGTGACACTTGGCTATCTGTTCTCTCTGGCTACCCCGTCAGGGATTGTGCGTGAAGATAAGTAATTTTAATTTAAAAATACGCGCTTATTCCTCCCGCCAGTAGGAACCCAATTCAGGTCCACAAACTAATAAGAAGTGTTAACGCAAGAGATAGTGTGTATCGACGGATTCAACTTGCTACATATTTATTTATCTATGATTCAACTCGACTGGACAGCGTTCGGGAGATAACGGCACATCTTTTAATCAGGTATACTTCAAAACAAGATTATACAACCAGTGCGTGTCGCCAGTGCCCGAGACGCGGTCACACTGCTGACCGAATGAAGAAGCTAAAGTTCCCTCAGCGAGCTATTGAGAGGGCTATAATCGGGAGTTTCTTTGCGTAATAAATTTAAAAATGAGGATATCCGCGGTAGAACCAGAGTATCCGACATAGACCAACCAAAATTTAATCAAAACTTAGTAAACTGAAGTGGCAACGGGCCGACCATGCTCGAAAACCGACAAACTATGAGGAAGAAAATTTCTCGAGTGACTCGTACCGGTAAACAAAGTGTAGGGCGGCTCTCCACTAGATGGAGTGACTATCTGATAAGTCATGGAGGAACTCGATGGATGCAGGTGGCTCGTGCTTTGTGGCATTCCTTGGGGGAGGCCTACGTTCAGCAGTGGACTTGTAAAGGGCGGTAATGATGTAATGATGATGACCATAATGCAGAGATTACACTAGGCCCTGTGATTACTATCACAAGTTTTGACTTGTGTAAAGGGGCTAAAAATATGTTAAAAGAAACAAAACTTTAATTAGTATTTTACATTATATATTTCTTACCATATTCGGCATAACAAAAATACTCAGATCCCTTCAAGAATAACTGACAATATCAGTGTATTTTTTTAAATTAAGCTATGGGTTTTCCAAAACTATATCCATTTATTATTATATTTTTAATATTGAATCTACAAAACGATGAAAAATTAAAAAGCGATTATTTATATGCAATTACATGGTACCCTATACCGCCTCTACTTACATTTAAAGTTTTGTATCAGTGTGATTTTAAATAACAACAAAAACCAAAGTTCAATGTACAAATAACAAAAATTAGCAAAATATTTTTGGCACAAATAAATTTCTCATTATGTTTTGATATATTATTTGAAAAAAAAAAGTGCCTATTCTATTGTTACACAGTTAATAATTAAAGCTAGAAGGAAACAAAACTCGAAACAGAGCTTAATAACAGAAAAAAAATTCCATTTTCGTATTCACAAATTGACAACAGATTATGACCAAAATAAATAAAATATAATTCTTTTCATAATGCAATTACGTTAATGTGTGATAAGCACTATTATAAAATGAATGAATATTCGAATATATAAACTAACATCATATTAAAGCATTTCTAGGAATAGTTTTATAACAATTCATGACAACTACTAGCATGATGCCTAAGGTGAATAAGCACAGTTCAAATACCGTGTTTGCACACATTTTTGCCATGGCTACATTGGCTACCAAAAGAAACCTAGCAAATACACTTTAATATTGGTTTAATGTTTCCTTACTTTCTTTAAGCTAACTTTCCAAGGTACAGTCCGTACGGATAAAGAATGGGAATAGAAATGGCGGCTCATCGAGCCCGCACCGTCAACAACCGCAATACCAATAGCGAATACCCGCCAATAACGGTATATCATTGTAAGTTATAACGTTATATTATTCGGTTAATAGTATATTTTCTATTAATTGTAAAATATTTGAAAATAACTGTATGCGCAAGGAGGAACATTAATTTTAAAATAACATTTATAACTAGCGATCCGCTCTGGTTTCTCCTGGGTGGAAACTATTAATGTGGCGTTACTCCTGATATTATTTTCTATTTGTTCGTAAAGTTTTATTAAAATCGGTAGCCATTTCGAATATTATCTCGGAAGACAAACAAAGGAATATTTTAAAAACGGTTACTCATATCTCAATAGCATATAAATATTTTATACAAAAAATCAACGATAATTATAAAATAAAAACTCTCAGAACATATTGTAGCTCACAAATTAGCGAAAACTGATTGAACTGTTTTATCATTGGTTCCAATGACAAATTGGACTAAAATTATATAGATCGTACGCATATAACAACGTATTTTTTTGCAGTCTTTACCGGCGGATGTGAGTATAGATAGCGACAATGTGCGAGCGAGAGGTGTGTAGAGGCGACGCCATTTTCAATCCCATTCTTTAACCGCTTTTGCGCTACTCTTGTAATACATAATATTATATTTATAACTAAAGCTCTCAAAATATATATATATATATAATGATTTAATGTATCATAACAAAATTTGCTTAATTGGTGTATAAATAAATGAATGTAACATGTCAAAACATTCTTTTATTTTCAACTAATATAATATAATGTTAATTATCTTTCGTCAATACAGCCCATCGCGAGTCTTGCCCTCATGTTATTTATCTTTAAATATATACGTTTATGGCATTTACGGCCGAATTTTAAATTTTTACGACAGTTTAAAGTTTTAGTTTGTAAAATCTATAATGTAATAAGTGACAAAACAGATTATTTGATAGCAAAAATTACTTTGAGCTCTTTGGTTCACAACAAATTGTTACTTGTTGACTAGTTTGAGAATTTATATAATATTTTAAACTTGTTCGTCAATTATTCACTGGTTGGTTAAAGATATGTTTAAAAAGTATTTGTTATAAGTATTTAAAAAAATCAAACTGACAATATATAATTTTCCACTGCATGTTTATCCTTATCATATAACAAAAAATGTCAAGTTGAACATTAGCCCAAGGAATCAATAAGTTTTACAAGTTGTAATTTGTTTAAGAAGTTTACTAATAAGAATTACTGTTACCAAAACAAAAAAAATTGACAAATATCACTAATCTAATTATCATCAAATACACTGATTTTCAATAACTAAATTACTTTATTTTGTTAAGGACTATCTATATTTCTAATATCTCTGATATACACCAAGTACTCAACTTACTTAAATATTATTACAGAAAATCTTATTCTAATAAAACTTTAAAATCCAACAATACAGTTATAGGTATATTCCCTTACAACAATTTATATTTATTAATTCTTTGTGCATCCTACAATCCTCAAAAATCTGAAAGTATTGCACAAAGCATAATGAATGAAATTTTTCAGAACCACAAGAAAGAAAATTATTTGAACCTTATATATAATATTAATTTGGGATTTTAATTTTTTTTAATTTATTGACAAAACATTGATGAGTTTAAAAGTGTATCCACTGCTTTGTACATACCCCTCATGCCCTACGGTTTGTATACTATAGTAGAATCTACTAATTAAAGGTAAAGAAAAAGCTTGTCACATTTTAATATTTCAATATTAAATGTCAACGTCACACACCACCAAGGATTCCATAGCATGGGTATACAAAGCTGTAATGAATTTAATAAATACTATAATACAATATGCACTTATTTATACACAAACATAATGTTATTAGTACATATAACGTTAAGTAATACAGTAAACCGCTTTGAAATTCCCTCCCCCACTACCTAACATCACAGAAAAAAAAATAACTTTTACCTCAAACCGCAAATAAAGTAGCATTTATGTAGAACACACACTGTTTACTAAATCACAATTACAATAAAATATATAACATTCATATGCATAAGACTTTTAAATAAATTTAATAGTTTGATAGCGACTTGTCATTTTGTAAAATTTGTAAACCACATTTTACATAAATTGTGACAGTTATGTTGATAACGACCAAATAAATAGCCCTTTAACATTTAATCTTTAGAATTTAAAATCGTGTACGTATCTATTTTTCGTTTTTTCTTTATATGCCTTAGCATTTCACAGCTGAACTTGGCCCTCCAATAACAGGGAAAGTTTGCTATAATGACTACAATTGGCAAGTGGATGGGCGACCGTATTACCAGAAGTTTACATTTGACACTGCTTTCCCGTCATCAGTTTGGATATTTTACATGCGACGAAAGTTATACCGCCATATATTGGAGACCCCGAGGTCTTTCTGGCATTAGTCATTTTATGTATGAATATGATAATAACTTGCGATTCGCCCCGGCTTCGTACCGGTTATTTCTGGACAACAGCGCCACCTACCAATTCCAGATTCAGTTGTGAATCTAAACCATGGCGGTATCCACTCAAACGCACACAAAATATTTCATCAAAATCGTTCGAGCCGTTTTCGAGTTTTAGCGAGTCTAACGAACAGCAATTTATTTTTATATAGAGAAAAGATGATGTTCATGTTATAAATAAAAACAAAATAAGTTGTAAATATGCATCCCACCGCCGTAGCCGTAGCGGCAGCTCGCGGGTTAAGATCGCTGTAAATTTCACAGTACGCGAGCAACTTGGGTACGATCACCAAAATCACCAAAAAAAATTTGTTAAATGCAATTTTAATTGCTGATTTACCACATGCTCGGCGTTGAAGTAAAACTTCGTGAGGAAACCAGCATATCTGAGAAATAAAAGAATATATTTCGAAAACGTGAATACGTCCGCCAACGCAGACAGTTTTTAACACGGCCACA